CGATGAACACGACAAATTTAAGAATAAAAGTTCTGTTCTTCTACGTAAACTATAACAGCCGGCCCCTAGAGGTCACCAAATGCCAGTCGATTGACTACTTTATTGAACATTTGAATGATCTCATGTGTTATTGAACTTCTAGTTTTCACAAAAGGTTGGCGAAAACTAAGAAACGTAAATTATATTTTCTACTGCGTTGACGTTAAATGGTTATGAAACTTTTTGAAATTATGATGGATGCCTGCTATCTAACTTGAAATGATTGCTGAATTTATAGGTACTTGAACGGAGAAAATTTCGGTTATATCGAAATCAGCAAATTTACCGAAGTATTTTCAGGAGTGTGCTGCGCAACGAGCATTCGCTAACGAATTAAGAAAACCTTAATAATTAACAATGAAAAGAAAAAGGTAGGAAAATACGAAAATGATGAGAACTGTGAAAACTGAAAATCTCGCTTAGAGCTTTCAAAGTTGTGAGATTTGCGATCAATCCTGGACATACCTCTAAAAATAGGACGTAAAAGATCTTGAATGGGTAGACTCATTGAAATTCGTTTTAATCGATGTGGTCTTTTTCTCTGCTCTCGTGACCTTGGTGACGAAGCCAAACCTAGGCTACGAAGACCGAAACCGATTTAGCAGGTCTCCGTGAATCTCGACCACTTTTATCGCGAGAATGTTTTGACGACCCTTTATTCGCAAGGGGTGTTATTCATTCAACAGGTACTTACGTACAACATATTTATCATGTACCAAGTTGATCACAGGCACTAATGATATCAAGATGATATGTTAAGAAAGAAATGAGTTTCAAGTACGCTTGGTAAAGCTGTGTGATAGACATGGAAATCAATGGGTTATTAATAAGCCACGACTGAGAGCTGGGGTTTTTTATTTGTTTTGCTTTTGACCATATATGCGAGAACAATTGTAGTCTAACAGCAATTGTAATTGGTGGCTGTAAATATAGAATAAAAACTGTAACGTAAATTGTTCAGTAGCTTGGCTTCCATCGACAAACCTGGACTTTGGATTACAAGAGTAAGCAAACTAAGAAGAAAAAATGACATAGTGTTGCTAGTAGAAGCATAAAAATGGCGCATGTGAACCTGGTTTGTTTGGGCAGTGATCTTAACTGAAAAGTGAGCTTGGAAAACAGTAATGTATGCGATACTTAGGGACCAGTTTTGCCAGGGGAAACAACACATAGAATAAAAGCACTTGGTAAACTCACATAGACACTGTGCAAATGTTACTGAAGTTATGATTCCTACATCGGGCAATTGACCACTATGTGGCCGGCAACCGACCTCAGTAAAAGAAATAATTATTTATTGCAAGTTGCTAGTCCAAGGTAATAAAACAAAATTTAACAAAGTTATTGTCTTTATTAATTTGTAACCGTGATAATTTTAAATGTTTCACAGGAGTTTTTGTCAGTTCTTCTAACGTCATACACCGCATAAGTGCATTCCGTGGATTTCAGTTGTCAGTTGCGTTAGAAACATAAGTTAATATTCTTACGATATTAATCCAATGGCAAGGTCTCGTAGCGACAGTGTAGAGGAATTGACGGTCTCCTGGTACAGCGGCAAGATTCCGGTGTTCGAGGGAATCGACCACTTCCATAAAGTTGCTGAAAGTGGTGATCCGACGGAGTAAGCTATTACTACTATATTCCGCATTTCCGTATTTCTAGGAGATGGTACTGATGGCTTCGGCCGTGGGAAAAGCAGTGCCCTTAACAAAAAAAAAACTGATTAACGGCCAAACTCTTAATTCTAACAGCACTTTCACAGGATCCCAACTTTGAAAAGATCAAAGGTTTTATTATGTTAATAGATACTCATTGAAATCATATCATGCTATTTTACCTTATGGACCCCATAGGTCAAAACTCACACCAACCCCTAAGGGCGAACAAAACTCACTAACTCTGTAATAAAAAAAAGAACTTGAACTTTAGGCTCAACTCTCGATCATTTTGCAGTTACTGTTCTATATAACTGAGTTGGGAGGTATAAGCAATCACTTGATGACTGGTTGGGAAAAAGAAACAGTTGGCTTTCTTTCCCGGCTCTCCAGATAGACGTGCCATTACTACAATACTTAATAAATCGAAATCTTTTTACTACATAATAAATTCTATATTGACCAAGCTTGTTCGGTCAAGATGGCTAGATTTTAGCCTCGTTCCTTTTTTTTTTTGCGCTTTTTATGGACCGAGAAGAAAGAATTTCGGGCCATATCCAGCCTTCTTGGCTTTGGTCAGTAACGTAGATATATAATATATATATATATATATATATATATACAAATTCCAGAACAAACTCAACAAAGACATCAGCAAAATCAAGAAATCGACAAAAGCCTTCATTCCTGCGGACAAGACTTCAAACTTTTACAAGCTTGACAAGACGCAGCACGACAAAAACTCCTGAGGGACAGCATCACAACCACCTACAAGAAAGCTAGCACCGACGCCGCCAAAAACATTGACTCACAAGAAAAATCTATCGCCCAAGAGCTCAACATCGACAACCGCACAGAACAAATCGCAAAACAACAAGTTTTTATTACCCTAAAAGACCACAAAGATAACTTCGCCAACCACCCTACATGCCGCCTCATAAATTCCGCAAAAAGTGAACTCGGAAAAGTCAGTAAACAAATTCTCGACAATATCAACTCGAAAATCAGAAAAATAACGAAGCTCAACCAGAGGAAAAAAACATCAGATGTAATTAATTGGTTCACCAACATAACCGACATGCAAAAGCATTCGTTCGCCTCGTCCGATATCGACAGTTTTTACCCATCCATCACAGGATCTCTTCTCTCTAAAGAAATTTCATTTGCCAAGAATTAGACCACAATCAGCAACAAAGACATCGACATAATTATGCACAGCTGGAAATCACTTTTATTTGACAACGAGACTGGCTGGACCAAGAAAAACCTCAGCAGCATGTTCGACGTAACTATGGGCGGCTTCCACGGAGCGGAAGTTTGTGAGCTCATTAGACTTTTCCTCCTGAACAGCCTCAGCGAGAAATACGGCAAAAACAACGTAGGACTCTACAGAGACGACGGGCTGGTACTTTTAGGAAACGCAAGCGGACCACAATCAGAACGAACAAGAAAGGACATCACACGAGAATTTAAGAAACAAGGACTGAACATTTCTAAACCTAAATTTCTAAACCTAAATTTCTGGCACAAACCTAAAAATCTGCAACTTCCTCGACGTCACCCTAAACCTCACGGACGGAACCCACTATCCATACAGAAAGCCCAACAACAAAACTCTCCACATCGACACCAATTCCAACCATCCGCCTACAGTAACAAAACACCTACCAGTAGCCATCGGCCGACGAATCTCCGACACTTCCTCAAGTAAAGAACTCTTTAACAAAGCCAAACCACACTACGAAAGTGCACTTAAACAAAGTGGACACGACGAAAAGTTAATCTACACTGAACGCAAGAAACCTGTAACTCACACCATACAGAACAGCCACAATAACAGACGAAGAAACATAATTTGGTTTAATCCACCCTACAGCATGAACGTACAAACAAACATCGGCAGAGAGTTTCTGAACCTCGTCAGTAAACATTTTCCGAAAAATCACCGGTACAACAAGATTTTCAACGAAAAAAACATAAAAGTTAGTTATAGCTGCACAGACAACCTACAAACCATAATTAAGAAA